ATTCACATACTAACACGATTCCAAACCATTCTACACTTTCTCAAGGCACACGACTACCCTACTAGTGAATTCATATGCTAATCTGCCACTCTTACTTCGGTTAAATCATCTCCTTTAAGAAACTTCTCAACCTCTACTTCTCCTACTTGACCTACTAGTACTTCAACCACCGCGAAACACTTCCCATCATGTCTTCCCTCATACTTTGCTACCCAACTGCTGCATCAAATCGAAATGTATCTCTGTCGCACCTGAACCAATAAAATGTTACCTACTCTAACTCTCTTCGAAGATCATCTTTCTCGAGCCATCAACATCAAAAATACTCATTCGCAACCACAATTACTACACAATCACTTACTCTTCTTGATTCCAAACTCATTGACAAGACATGAGAATTTAATTTTTCCTAAAATTTAACAACGTGAAAAATACTTAAAAACATTCACACTCGAGACTGTACGTCACATCAAAACAAAAAATCAAGTGCCCAATGGTCTTCCTTTACATTTCAAGGAAAAACTTCTGGTCATATTTAAATCGTCTTAACACATCCCGTAGTTACATCATACTCGTCACAAAGCCATTCCACCGCTCATTGATCCACAAATTCCACTCGTAGGGGCATTATCGGACATATGAGTCCAAATGTACAAGTTACAAATGAAGCTACCGAGCCAAAACTACAATTTAAACCTGGCCTCAAGTCCTCCAGACTAGCCCATCACCAAAACACATAATACACATCTCGAACCTCATTCATAGAATCACAAGCCGGCAATGCACAACTGATACCGAGCACTCATGTGCGCATACGAATGCGTGGAAGGAATTCAAAGAGTTATGTTTCAAGCTGAATCAATTTCGCACGATAGAATACAGGAAAGTGAAATTTTCCTAAGGGTTCTGCAGCCTCTCGAAGATAAGTACAAATGTCTCCGTACCGATCCACAAGACTCTACTAAACCCGCTCATGACTCGTGAGACCTATGTAACCTAAGCTCTGATACAAATATGTCATGACCCAAACTAACCCCTGTCGTGATGACGCCTATCGTGGAACTAGGCAAGCTGACTCATTTCCAAAACAAACCGATATTTTCATTTCAAAAATAATTTCAATGTTATTTAACACAAAATCCTTCGTAAAGGAGTTCTAATCAAAATAAAAGTGAGGAAGGAAAAGCCCGACATCAGGGTGTCACTAGTCATGAGCATCTACAACAATCTGTCTAACAATATCAAGGCTAACTCAGCCTGGAAAATAGCTAAATATAACTAGAGGAAGATAAGAGGGAGAAGAGCAGGGCTGCGATCGCCAGGTAGCTACCTTGCTATCCCCGGGAAAATCTGCAATCAGAACAATCAACAACCGCTACCGTGTCCATCTACACCTGGATCTGCACACATGGTGCAGGGAGTAACGTGAGTACGCCAACTCAGTAAGTAACAACAATACATAAAGACTGAGCAGTAGTGACGAGCAGTAAAGCATATAACATTCATATCAAGAAATCTCAGTAAAATACCACATGCTTTTAAAATCAGGATTTGAATCAAAATATCTCGTTTAAACCCAGTTCCAGTAAAAATCATTTAAAGATATTTTTTAACAGTTTTCAAACAGAGGAAAAATGCAAAGGTGAGCAAAAATGATGAAATCATAAACAGCCCCTCGGGCAAAACATCACTCATATATAGCCCCTCGGGCAAACCTCATAGTTACTCATGCCACTCGGGCATACCACATAATCACTCTTGTCACTCGGGCATACCTCACAATCACTCTTGCCACTCGGGCATACCTCACAATCACTCATGCCTCCCAGTCACTCAACACTCGACACTCGCACTCAGTAGGTACCTGCGCTCACTGGGGATGTGTACAGACTCCGGAGGGGCTCCTTCAGCCCAAGCGCTATAATCTGCACAGATAACTCATGTGTTGCATGGACAACTCACGTGCTATAATAATAAAGTATGTTGTAGGCGGGCAACCCCGATCCACACTCATCCTCACAATCAGGCCCTCGACCGATATCAACATGCTGCGGCGTGCAGCCCGATCCCATAAATATCCTCACAAATCACGTCCTCGGCCTCACTCAGTCATAAACCTCTTAAGCCACTCGGGCATTTCAGTAAAACAGGGCATTCAACCCAAAATATTTATATGCATCAAAATAGAGTCATAAAACTGAGTTATGCGATAAACAAGTATAAACATGACTGAGTATAGATTTTCAATCGAATACAATGAGAGGATAGTGAGAAAAAGCCCCTAAGGGTCCAAATAGCACTGACGCAAGGCCCAAACATGGCATTCATCCCAATTTACAGAAACTCTTTCTAAAACATATAAGTATCATATAGTTTCAACAAAGTATGCAACTTTACAGTTGCTACAGGTCGGACCAAGTCACAATCTCCAACAGTGCACGCCCACATTCCCGTCACCTAGCATGTGCGTCACTAAAAATAGTAGAATGATACAAAATTCGGGGTTTCGTACCCTCAGGACTAGATTTACAATCGTTACTTACCTCAAACCGGTCAAATCTCTACCCCGCAATGCTCTTGCCTCTGGACTCGGCCTCCAAATGCTCCAAATCTATTCACAATCAGTACAATACCATCAATATATGCTAATGGAATGAATTCCAATGGAAAAGCTACAAAATTAAACCAAAACCCGAAATTGGCTCAAACCCGACCCCCGGGCGTATGTCTCGAAATTTGACAAAATTTACAAAACTAGAAAGCACATTCACTCACGAGTCTAACCATACCAAATTCATCAAAATCCGACATCGTTTGGTTCTTCAAATCCTTAAATTACTTCTCCAAAAATCCCAAGCCCTAACCCCTCATTTTCACTAATTACAATGACTAAACAACGGAAAATTACCATATATATAAGTATTAGGACTCAAGCAACTTACCTCACTGATAGCCCTTGAATCACCCTTCAAATATCACTCCAAATGCTCCACAAACCGACTTGAAAATGGTGGAAATGAACCAAATTCGCGAAGTGTTCTATTTATGGTTTCTGCCCAGGTTTTTGCACCTGCGGGCTCTTTTTCCGCGCCTGCGGGACCGTACCTACGGGACCGCACCTGCGATCAAGGTGCCACATCCGCGAACTCCACTTAATTCCCCAGCTTCCGCATCTGCACTCCAGGCCTCACACATACGGGCTCGTAGGTGCGGCCAAATCCTTCGCGCCTGCGCTCTAGCCTTGGACTCACATTTTTCCGCATCTGTGCAGCAAATTCTCGCGCCTGCACACTCATACTTCGCTTCTACGAAGCCTGCCCAGCATCCCCCTTTCCGCATCTGCGCCCCAGGTTTCACACCTGCGGGCTCGTGCGACCTCCAACTCGCACCTGTGCAACCTGCCTAGCTCAGCATTTCCCGCACCTGCGAACTCTCCACGTGCACCAGCGGCCTCGCACCTGTGACTCTTTCTTCCGCAGGTGCGAAAATAGCAGTAGCAGCAGCTTCAGCTGGATTTTCCAACTTCGACAAATTCGTTAACCACCCGGAATCACCTCGAGGCCCTCGGGACCTCAACCAAAAATACCAACAAGTCATATATCAATATAAAAACTTAGTCGAACCTTCGAATCACTCAAAAAAATATCAAATCATCAAATTACCCTCGGATTCAAGCCTAAGAACTTCTAAATTTCCAAATTCGGCAACCGATGCCGAAACCAACCAAACCATGTCCAAATGACCTCAAATTTTGCACACACATCAAAAATGACACTACGAACCTACTCCAACTTTCGGAATTCTATTCCGACCCCGATATCAAATTTTTCACTACCGACCGTAATCGCCAAATTTCCAAATTTTGCCAATTCAAGCCTAATTCTACAACGGACCTCCAAATCACATTCTAGACGCACTCCTAAGTCAAAAATTACCTAACGGAGCTAACGGAACCATCAGAATTCAAATCCGAGATTGTTTACGCATAGATCAATATCCGATTGACTTTTCCAACTTAAGGTTCTAAATAAGAGACTAAGTGTCTCATTTCACTCCAAAACCACTCCGGGCCCAAACCAACTAACCTGATATATCATAATATAGCTTAAGAGAACAAAGGAAACAAAAATGGGAGAAATTGGGCTATAACTCCCGAAACGACCGGCCGTGTCGTTATAATAGAATCATAAGAGTTTAGTTCTTCAAAAACTAGATCCCAAAATATAATAGGTTGCTGCTACCTTAGAGTCAAGAATAGACCTTGGCTATAGATAATTGTTTGCTGCTACATAATCAGATAGTCAAAAAATAAGTTCATAAGATACTATTTCTTGCTAAAGTTTGCCTTCAGCTATTGCAACTGGGAAGTTGTGACAGCATCATGACCCTTCCACCTCAAGCCTCTAGCCTTAAAACCAAGGTCTATTCCTGTTGGAGCTGCACTCTTATAAGTTGAACCACTTGCAAGAACTTTTTGGCTTGATGTTACGGGCTGCAGTTTGCCAAATAATGAAGCACAATCAGTAAGTTATTCTAAGTCATATTATAGATGAAATATGTATGAATATATACATTTAGTATTTGAGTTCCACTTGCAGCTGTGTAGATGCCAAATCCAACATTTTTTGGACCTTTTTTTCTCCTCCTTTTTCAGCAACTTCTTTACCTGCACCCCTTCATCTTTTTTGGACAATAGTTCCTTTACCCTTTGGAGGAAGTTGACTAGCTAATCCTCTTCTAGCAGGCCTGCACGAATCTGTTGAAGTTGGTGGTGGTTGACTTGAGCTTCTAGCTTCATGAACCCTTCTAACTCTTATTGTATCATCACAAACAGAGTTTGAGGTTGCAGGTTGGCTTGAGCTTCTTGCTGCAGCAGGTTGGCTTGCTCCTTGTGAGCTTTGGCTACCTTACTGTGAAGGCATCCAATTTTAAGCCTGCACGACATTGAGCAACAGAAAACCTTTGACAATGACAATGACACCAGATTCATATGAAGAATAATACAGTAAAGAATTCAGACTAATTTACCTTACAATATCTTTTGTTATGTCTTTGTTGATGGCACTTGGAACATGTCATTTTCACTCCACACTTGGACAACTTTCCATATTTCTTTTTTGGTTCATCTTTGCCTTTTGTTCTATTCCTATGAGGTCTATGAGGCATGGGTTTAGGTTTGGGAGGCTCTATCTTTGGATTGTCGGTTTCAGGCCACATCTTCATATTTGTCATAGGCTGGATGAAATACTTGTATGCTTTTAAGAAGGTATCCCTCTTATACCAATGCTCCACTGCCTGTTCAGGTTCTTTGTTTATGTGATAGTATGCAAGAACAACATGTTGGCATGGAATACCTCTCAACTTCCAAGCTCTAAAAGTGCTTACCTTATCAGTCAGATCAACTACATGCTTATGCAGTCCTTCTCCAATCTCAAATCCAACATCATCATTCCAAAGGACAGTACATTTTCTAGCAAGCTCTTTGCTATACTCTAACAGAATCCTAGCCATAGGTGATATATCAGATTTCCAAGTATCAGCAAATTTCAACATATCCACTTGCCTAGTCATTATTTTTCTCCTAATCTCCTCCAACATAGTTATAATTGATTTATGACTAGAAGCTAAAATCTATAAATTAAAGGTCTCACACATATTATTTTCAACAACATCGCACTTGGAATGCACTTCAAAATATGCTCTAACCCATGACTTTTCTGAATAATATAACAAATCTCTACAAATATCCTTACCAAGTTTGTCCATTTTGTGAAGCTCCTCCTTAAACTTAACTTCATAACTAGCTTTAGAGCACCTCCAAAATTATTTTCTCCTTTCCTCTCCTTTATATATTTATGCCAATTAGACCAGATGTGCCTGGCACACATTCTAAATTCAGCATTGGGTAAAATTTCCTTCAAAGTTGCAGCAAATCCTCACACACTAATGAATTCACATAAGATCACGTTTACAAGCACCCTTTAAGAAACAACCATCAAAATCTATGATTCTCCTACATCGTTCTAACCAACCTTTCTTCAATGCATAAAAGCACACATAAAAGTAAATAAATAATTTTTTTTCTGGCTCAGTTTCACTGTTTATCCTTACCCAACATGAGCTACCAGGATTGGTCTGTTTTATCATATCAACATAATCACATAACTTTGCAAACTCCATATTCCAATCATCCATAGACTCTCTGAGTATACACAATTTAGCCCTATAACAAATTGTCTTGCCAATATACAATCCTAGCTTGTCCCTGCACAATTCCTGTATTTCCCATGTCCTTATGTGGGGCTGCTTAGTTATTTCATCTTTAAATTTTTTTGTAACAAACTTTGAAGTACATAACTTATTCTTGTTTGAAGTATCACATTTGTGTACTGGGTAATAGTTTTTTACTTTAAAATCACCAGAATCTCTATCAATACAGGCATAGCACATCTATTTGCATCTCTTTGATTTACACTTATCCCTCACCCTATGTGGTTCATTTGGTCTCAATTTAATTTGCACCTTGTACTCAATTGCATAATTTGCTAATGCTTTCCGAAACTCTATAGCATTCTCAAAAATCATCCCAAGTTCAAATATAGCAACTTCACAATTAGGATCATACCTGACTTTTGTACTCCTCCTTTTTGCTGGTATATCAACACCAGGAATAACTTTAGGATCTAACTCTTCTATGCTATCTTCACTATCAGCCTCTGAACTATCAATAAACTGCTCATCCCCCCCTAAATTACCTACATATCTGGAAGCCTTGTTTCTTCCAATATCCTCAAATCCTCTGTCAATACCTGTTTCTCCTAGTGGTATCGTTTTTGTTGCAATTGGTTTTTTCCTCTGCTTACCTTGCCTCGTGCTCCTCCTTTCAGCCCTTAAAAATCTCAATTCATTATCAACCTCTGAATCATCTTATTCAGGAAGAACATCTACTTGCGAGTCACTACTGTCAACATCTGATTGCACTCTATTTTTATCAACATTATGATCTTGTTCAGCACCATTATGAGTTGGTTCAGCACTATTATGGGTTGGTTCAGCACCATTGTGAGTTGGTTCAGCACCATTGTGAGTTGGTTCAAATTTGATTGAGCATCATTGAGATCTGAGATGTTTTCTAACTCTTTCCCAGGTGGCTCAATAGGTTATTTAGTATTTATATTACTCCCAGGTGTTGCCCTAGCTTTAAATTGGTCATTACCACCCCCACCTACTTCTGTCCCACATAAAAGACCAACTACGTCTTCGAGTACTTCAGGCTGACTCACCACATGACGCAAATAAATATCCAAAATATCACCATGTTGTAAATCTTTCACAAATTCAAATAATTGAAAATCATATACGACTTTGATAAATTCACCATTTTTTTCCTTTTGACAAAAAAACCCTTCAACAGCTGTATACCCAAGGTCTTTAGCATAAGCGGACAACTCAACAACACTGAAATGGTCTTTATCGTTAGCAATAGCAAAGACATCTAATTCCCCTTTGTATATTGGGGCAGGTTCTTCGATAAATGTACCCCCATGGTGAAAACGAGTTAAAATATAGTCATCCATAATTCCCTTACATAAAATGCCAAGGGACCAACACAAAGGAAAACCCCAAAAAAACCCTAGCTTTATCAATAACTTAAAAAAAGGCCCTAACTACAGCAATAAAAAATAAGGAGAGATCGGACCTTTAAGCGTTGTAAGTACCGTAAGAGATCAGTAAAAATAGTAGATTCCAACAACATTGACGGATAGAAGAAGAAGCTTAAGTAACTGTGGTTTCTTTCTTTGTTTTCATCGATGGAAAAGGAACAAGGTTAATTTTATTTAGATTGTTTGTTTATGGCGGTTTATTTATGTATTTGATTGGAAATAAGACTATATAGGTGAGGTGGACAATTAAATGATGTGGCACGATTTTAATGGTTATTTGTTCCACGTAGACGAAGATTGTAGACACGCGCTTGGTAAATTCAAAAGCCTGCACAAAACGTGTCTAATTGGTATATTATATGCCTAAGAAATGAGTTCATATGGAAAGAGGCCTAGTTTAAGTGTCTAAATGAAAAATTATGCCAACTTTAGGTGACTCCGTATGTATTACGCCTTTTTAAAAATATCTTCTTTAGATTATATCAACTTTACATGTCAATTGATACTTTCTGAAACTGGGTAAATAAGTGTTCTAATTATACTGTTTAGCATTAACCAAAAAGGCTATTTGGTGTTGGAAGTTAAAAGTAATGGAGGCTGACTTCTCATTACTCTTTCTTACCTAAATTCAGTCCAATTATTAGGAAATGGGCATGATCTTATTTTTTTCTTTTCTTTTAAATGAGCTGATTATAGAATAGAGTTAAGCATGCACAGGCCTTTCGATTGTCATTTTGACTTGATCTACCTATGTTAGATGGGGATGATATGATGTACTTTAAAAAAGACAGGTCGAGTGGAGAGCTCATAGGCCAGTGCACGCCTTCGGCTTGCTTCGGCATGTGTGTGCTCCGACCGCGCTCTGTCACCCACAACCAAGGAGATGGAGTTCGGTGACGGTTTTTAAAATGGAATTCGATAAGGAGACAAAGTACCCTTATACGCCAGACAGTAGTCAATTCAGTAAATCAACAAGAACATAGATCTTCTAGTTCTCTTGCGGTTGTAAAGCCTCTTCTGCCAAGCTTCTTGAAAGTCAAAAGTTTTTTTATTTTTTGTCACGACCCAAAAATGACCGCCACGATGGCGCCTATCGTGGAACTAGGAAAGCCACAACTCAACAATTTCAACACAGTAAAACACTCTTTTAGAAATAACAGCGGAACAATTTATATTAAAGAAAAGCCATTTTAAAACAAAATTTAACCAAAATACGGTACAATCCATCCTAAAATCGGGGTGTCACTGAGTACATGAGCGTCTAAAACCAGAATACAGTCCACAACAGTATCTAAAGAATAAAACTGAAAGTGCAGATAGAATAAGGAAGGGAAATCAAGGCCCGTGAACGCCATGCAGCTACCTCGATAGTCCCCAAATCTGATGCCTGAATCAGCCGCCGCCGCCATGACCAGGAACGCCTGGATCTGCACACAAGGTGCATGGAGTAACGTGAGTACATCCAACTAAGTAAGTAACAAGTCCAAACTTTGAACTGAAAGGTAGTGACAAACTCAACTTGTACAGATAAAATGGAAATAACTGGAGAGAAACGTAGGCATGCTCTCAAATCACATAGGCGACTCGAACAGTAAAGTAAAGCAGATCCGAACAGTGTAATGAATATAACTCTGTTATATCTACATGTCAATTCACATACTGTAGTGATGCACTATGTTAACAGCCTCAAGTGCTCACACTCTCAATATCTCAACCACTCGGTGCTGTATATGGCCCACACGACCCAGGGAAGATCCATCCCAGAACATATACAACACTGACCATAGGTCACCCAGTAACGAGGAAGGCCAATCCAGCCCTGTGGAGAAGATCCATCTCCAGTTATCAAGTACTTCGGACAAGATCCATGTCCAGGGAAGATCTATCTCTCAATAATATTAACCGCACTCACTGGGGGTGTGTTACAGATTCCAGAGGGGCTCCTACAGCCCAAGCGCTATCATAAAATTAGTATAACCGCTGTGGCGTGCAGCCCGATCCCATAACTGTCACTCATAATCAAGCTCTCAGCCTCACTCAGTCATCAATTTCTCCAGTCTTACTCACAGGCTCACAATATCATTAAAACTAGCCCGAAACAATGATATGATGTATCAATAAATAACAACCGAGACTGAGATATGATATGAAATGCATGAACATAACTGAGTACATAATATCAATGAAATCAGTGAGATGACAGCAAGAAACCACCACTAGGGGTCCCAACAGTACCGGCATAAAGCCTAAACATGATATCTAGCATGATTGACAGCTCAATTACATTATCACAAGATGAAAATACGGATATCAACAAAATAGAGTCACTATATAGTGCAATGGACCAGGCCACAATTCTCACGGTGCACGTTCACACGCCCGTCACTTGGCATGTGCGTCACCTCAATACCAATCGTAAAGCATATAGTTCGGGGTTTCGAACCCTCAGAACCAAGTTTGAAAGCGTTATGCCTTTGCCCCTCGAATCAGTCTCAAAATGCCTCGAATCTAGCCACAAGCAGTATGAGATAATTAATATAGGCTAAAGGGATCAATTCCACAAGAAAAATACTAAACTATAGCCCAAAATCCGAAATCGGCTCAACCCGGCCCCCGGGCCCACGCCTCAAAATTCGACAAAAGTCACAAAACCCGAAATCCGACACCATTTGGACATCCAAATCCCCAAAATCCACTCTCCAATTCTCAAGCCTTAAACCCCCAAAATTCACTTCAAAATCTCACTAATTAGGTGGGGAAATCAGTGGGAAAACACGTTTTATGATCCAAAATGAGTACAAAAAGCTTACCTCAATAATCACCTCGAAAATCTTCTCCAAATTCGCCTAAGTCCGAGTGCAAAATGTTGAAATAAGACTAAAATTGTGAACCCTTGCTTTTAAACCTTCTGCCAAGACTTTTCGCATCTGCGGACCTATTGTCGCACCTGCGGAATTTTCCTCGCAGGTGCGAAAATGACTTAAGGGGCTGGGTCCGTATCCGCGAGCAAGAGGCCGCACCTGCGCACCCGCTCCTACGACCAAGGGACCGCACCTGCGACCCTCACCGCTCCTGCGCACAGACCAACCGCAGAAGCGAGGCCGCTTCTGCGCAATTACCTCCGCACCTTCGAACCCAACTTGGGCTGCCAAATCCCGCATTTGCGCTCCTTCATCTGCACGTGCGAGTACGCACCTGCGGTCTCCCCACCGCAGGCGTGAAACTACCAGATATCAGAAAGCTTCAGCCATTTGCCTAAGTCCAAATTCAAACCGGTAAGCATCCGAAATACACCCGAGACCCCCGGGACCTCAACCAAATCTACCAACAAGTCCTAAAACACTAACGAACTTAGTCGAGCCCTCAAAACACGCCAAACAACAACAAAAACATGAATCACCCTCCAATCCAAACTTAATGAACTTTGAAATTTTTAAATTCCACAAACGATGCCGAAACCTATCAAACCACGTTCGATTGACCTCAAATTTTGCACACAAGTCATATTCAACATTACGGACCTACTTCAACTTTCGGAATCCGACTCCGACTCCGATATCAAAAAGTTAAATCCCCCGATCAAACTTCCCAAAAATTCGACTTTCGCCATTTCAAGCCTAAATTAGTTACAGACCTCAAATTCATAGTGCGGACACGCTCCTAAGCCCAAAATCACCCAATAGAGCTAACGGAATCGACAAAGCTCTATTCCGGAGTCATCTTCACATAGTTCCGACTACTGTCAAAATCCTAAGACTTAAGCTTCCGTTTTAAGGATTACGTGTCCCAAAACACTCCGAAATCAAAAACAAGACCTCCCGACAAGTCACATAAGCAAAAACGGATACGGGAAAAGCAGAAAATAGGGGATCAGGGCTATTACTCCCAAAACGACCGGCCGGGTCGTTACATTTTTTGTCAAAAATATACTTTTTGAAAAATTTGAGGTATTTGATCAAGATGAAAAAGTGCTTTTGAGGAGTAACAGAAGCAACTTTTCTACTTTTGGGGAGAAGCTACAAATTTTTACTTCTTCCAAGAAGCAAAAGCAGAAGTAGAAAATTGATTTTTTTCAAGACAAAAATAACCTTAAAATAAATTTATATTTCCAAATTATACATCATTAATTTAACCTTTTCCTTTTAATTTCTACCATACCCTTTTTTTTAAATTCTCTTTCTTCTTTTCTCTTCGGGATAGCCTCATAAGAGTACGTAGATTTTAATTTATATTGAATGATTGTATTTTTATATATTTAAATTATCATGTAAAATTTAAGTAATACCAGATACTTAATGTTATTGCTTTGGAATAACTGTATTTTATATTGATTAGAATCTTTAATCTATATTTTATCTTTATATTTTATATTTAATTGAATTCCTTTATACTCATAATTCAAGGCCCGTTATTGTTGAGCTTGAAGAAACATAGTCCAATAGAATACCACTATATTATATAGTT